CAAAATCTAGGATGATCATATTCTTTGCATGGCATATTTTCATATTTCTATTAAACAAACATTGGGGGAGGTTAGGAAACTATTTTTAAAATACATGAAAAAAAATAGAAATGTAGCCATCTAGGTGATTTCCTGTTCTCTCACCCCATCCTCTTTTACTTTTTTTTTTAATATGAAACTGACTCTCAATATCAAGGAATTAAGAACAGCATTTAGATTTGGAAAACGACACGACTTAAACAAGACTTTCAGTACAATTCATTCCTCCTTTGTAAAGGAAAAACTGTTTAATGTGGGAAAGATGTGTAATCCCATATAGTAGAGAGAACAAATTACCCTGTTTTGTGCAAGAAAAGAGTGCGATATTCTGTATATTAAGTTCCACAAAACCCTGACTAGAATTTCTTCCAACTACATAATGCTTAGAGAAAAAGAGTCGAGCTGACACATTAATATTTACAGGGTGCTCTCTGAACAGAGTGACATTAGCCAGTGTTTGCATGCTGATCTTGCAAAAAATTTGAGAGAGACCACATTGGGGCTCTTAGTGCTCAGGAAATTGGTTAATCATATTTGACATTTGCTAGAGCCATGGAATCCAGAGAAGAGAATCATACCTGACGTATTTTAAAAAGAAGAAAAAAATAATCAGAACATCACAAATAAATTTCAAGGCTGAATTCAAATACAAAAAAAAAGTTATGAACAGAGAATAAGCACTCAAGAAAAGATAAACTACCAATGAAACAGCAATACCAGAATAAGTAATAAAACAAAGTCTTTTTTGTGGACACAATGAATTGATTATAACAGCCACAGATTAAATTACATTTGGTTTCCAAAGTGTTTCAATTCTTTATTCTGTCAATAGCTATTTCACTGCTGAATAGAAGTCTTTACATTATTTAGGGGGCTGCACCTTTATCTCTAACAAGTATAAAGCAGATACTATTCCATGAGCAGCTCATATTTCTAATAATGATAAACATGTCATAACACTATGCCCTCCTTGTCAAAGGAGCAAAATGCTTATTTTCTGTCTAGAAATATGTAAGAAACTAGGCATGTAAATCCAAGAGATCATACTGGGGCAGAATAAACAAGAGCAACACAAATATAAAGAATTCTCTTATTATCTCTGGATTAATTAGCATTAATAAACTAGGACAACAATATTTTTGACAGAACAGGAAAGCAGATCATTAGCATGGATGAGATGCTATAGGTGATATTCCTAACACATCCAGAGCAGACCCACTCCAAATAATACTCATGGCTAGTAATTATATGAGCAGATAATTTACATCTAACATCCAGTGGAGCATATACAATATTTGTACAGAATTATATGATTCTATGAATATACAATGTTTGTATACAAGGCTAAGACTCCTTTTTGCTCTTCAAATCTAACGCAATTAGATTTAAGAAAAATAAATTGCTAATAATTAAACAAAGAAAGAATCTAAAACCTTTTACTACTAAGATTCAAAATCAGACAAACTAAAAGTTTGCAAAGCTTTCTAAAGTGGATTTTCTGTTGGAGAACAATATAAACAATGATTTGCATCAGTGATTACTTTATTCAAACTGCTGTTATTACTTTATTTCAAACTGCTATCAAGTAATGCTGATTTACTTCAAACGCTGTTTGGTCTCATTAGACCACTCACTTAATTGTGGAAATTTCCTTTAGGCTCAAATCCTTCTACAGATGAAGAGTGCCTCCGCTGCAAGAAGTAAGTCTTAAACAAATGTACTACTAAAGTGTTTCTGAAAAAAATAATTTTGCATGAAGCTTTATGGAGCACAGTCCAACCCTTTACCCTATTACGTGTCAAGTATTTCACTCTAAGCTGAGTGCAGCCAACCTTTCTGACCACATTGCCTATTACAGATGTGGATACACATGCACACTTAGCCCTGTGAAGAGACACGTGCCACAGCACTCTACATGATACTCATTCCAAACTGCATCCTGCCCCTTTCTTCCTCTTCCCCTCCTCACTTTTTTCCCCCTTTCTCCCTCCACACTGTATTTCTCGCTAAAAGAAAGCTCTGTCCTGGAGATACAGTGACCAGCTGGTACCAAAGGTCTTTACTGGATCATAAATTCAAGTCAAAAGAGCTACAATTGCTTATAAAATGTAAGCTGGAAAAAACACCATGGTAATTCAGAAATTAGTAGTGACAGATGTTCAAAACAGAAATCAACGTGACTGCCATCGCTAGCCCCTGAATCAGCTCTCTACTAATGCTAGAAGAAAGTAAGCTTTGTTTGACAATATTTAACAGTTTTACAGAGGAGTATGAAATTCTGGCTTTCCAACAAAATAGCTCAGCCACAAATTACCGCATTTGTTCCATGTAAATCAGACTGCACAACTGCAACGTTCTACTCAAGCTTTAAAATCTATGAAGACAGTACTGCCACACAACCCAAAGCAAGGGGTTAGCAGCTTCCATATTATTTTGTTAAATATTTTAAGTTCTTAATTATGAGTGAAACTTGAGTTCTGAATTAAGAATGCCTAAGAAAGAGAGAACTAGTCTAGGAACCAAAGGCAGTGGAAAAAAAAGGCTCTACATTTAGGGTCCTGCAAGATTTTATTAGGAAAAATTAAAAAGAGGGTTAAGAGGGTTTTTGGGTTGTTTATTTTTAAACACTGCATTCTGCTGCTGGATTTTATTTTTTATTTATTTTAAGATGTACAAGAAAGTAAAACAAAGCACACAACATGCAGCTGATTCTCTGCCTCCTCCCTTGATTCCTGAAGGAGCTCCCCAGGCCTCTGCCTGTGTCACTACAGATTTTCAGTGACTGACTGTTGTCACTGCCAAGATAATTACCAGTGATTGGTGGATGTAAAGACTGGAATAGTGATGGAAAAATTAAGAGTATGTACGGCGTGAGAAACTGCACTAATCTGACTGAACATATCTTATATTTCAATGTGATATATAACATGAAAGGACAGAGAAAAAATAACCAAAACTCCATGAAAATGAGAAAAAGTGAAACTAGAAATTATTCTGAGCTATTAATCTTCTGTGATAATGAAGTACTTAGGATGACTTCTAAAACTCACTTTCATTTAGATGCTTCATTTATTTTAATCTGGTAGATAATTAGAGGGAAATCAAATCCGTCTCCACAGCTAAATATTTACCAGAGATGCAGCTCAGACTTCTCAACGTGTGTTCCCTGTGTTCAAATGTAGTGTTAAATATATTGTTAGAACTTTACCTAGATTAATGCCCATTAACTAATTAGCATCAAAACTAGAGTCTGCAGTGTTTGCTGCCTTGTTATCTGTCAGAACAGGAAATCTTTTAGTGATTTTTTTTTTATATTAATAGGCCAAATTTTGCTTTCCCTGCTGCGAAGCACAATTAGACTAAAAGTACTAGAGTGGATAGATAAAATTCCATCCAGCTTTCTATATCCAGTCAACTATTATCTTCACCCTGCAAAGTTACAGGGATACCATTTCTGTAGCTACTGGTAGGAATGTTTGGAGAAGGAATGGGGAAGCACACATTAGAACTAATCAAAAGGCATTGAAAAGATGAAAAGAATATGAGAAAAGACACAAAGAGAAAGTGTTGCAAGATCTTTGCTCGTGAAGACAAAGCAAACACAACCGGAGCTCAGATCTCACTTTGAATGCTTTTACTTTGGTGTTCTAATCACCCACGGAGATTTACAATGTCCTTCACTCGAAGCTTACAGTAAAACCATGTCTCTCTCAAGAAGCTCCATACACCATTCCCCCTTCAATGAAATGTACTTGGAAGCAGGAGGGGTAGATCTCAGCTGAGTGAGTATGGAGCTGTCACACAAGTTCCCATGTATCATACCTTATGCACTAACACACAGGATTGTCTTATGGTGCAGATACACAGACATTATTCAATAGATTATGCTGAAAAAGCTGCATCACTGATGAATTCTTGCTGGGAAGAGCCCATGATTTTTCTCATGACTGACTAATCCTGTTTTAAATTATTTAGCAGTCTAAATGTATTGGAGAAGAATTCTCAGTTGAATAAGCTTTCCAGACACACACTAGCATTCCCCAGGATTTTTTTGTTGTAATCATCACTTGCCTTTTTTCCATATTCAATATGTATTTAATGAATGCTTGACATGACATCAGCATTAAAAAAAAATACTTGCATAATTGCAGGTGAAAAAAAAATCTTTTTCCAGCTCCAAGCACTGAAGTAATCTTAAGGGTGAAGGTTAAATGCAGGTAACACAGCACAGTTTGCTTTCCAAGACATTCTATACACTGATCACAGCAACCTATATGTGTAGCACTGCCTCTGAAAAAATATTTTTATCTTGTAGATATATATGTAGATATATATCTTTTTTATCTTGTAGATATTATCAGTTATGTCTTGTTCAGGGGATTCTTTAACATGTATTAAAGAAATGTTCCTATACAACTCTTCTGAGTATTCCTTTCCAAAAAAGGACAGCAAAATTACCCTTGAAATCAAAACATACCAGGAGAAACATATTTAAGCTTGCCAATAAGTGACAAAAGAAGAACCGAATAGATATCCTGGTATGGAGGCAGGCTTATAAACATTAATAAATAAATACATCACCTTCTCATGTCTTTAAAGAACGGCTTAAAACAAGGTGCTTCCTTAAAACAGAAGGCATCACGTCTCTTAGACTGATCCTACCACAAGCATTTCTGTGCAAGCTGCAACAGGCAGTTCATCTCATTCCTAGATGAGTTTATACGCTGGAAATAACCAACACATGTACCTAGCACTTCCACAAATGTGAGTATTCATTCTGTATCAAGCCACTGATTACTATCCTACGAGCTTTTTTTGAATGAATTAACATTATGGATGCAAAAGGAGTCACACAAAGACAGTTGGGACCATAGTTTCCTGGATAAACTAACATAATTGAGAAAAAGTATTTTGTTTTTGTAATTATTGCAAGGTGCAAAAAAAAAAGTCAAAACACTTACTGGATATCTTTTCTCTTCTTTTTCTGAGGGTCCACTAGACGAAGAGTGTCTCTGATAACAGCTACTTTCACTTCTTCATCAACAGGGCTTGGGACATTTTCAAATACCCCAGGAGAGAGCTTTAATTTACAAAAGGATACAATTACTCAGTGAAGAACAGGGCATTACCTACTCTACATCTTTTAAAACCTTTTGTATATCACATACGTTTTAAATACACAGTGATAGATTACAAAACACTTCTTAAAGAATAAGCAAATACCTTAATATTTTCAGTATATTACAGTAACTCTTAGTTATTTCTCTAGTAAATCAAGATTTAAAAAAGAGATTATTGCCAATGTTACCATTGATATTATTTATTCAAGCATGAAAAAATATATTAGCAATCCTCTAAATACAATTAAGTCAACTGCAGAGGATGTTGAATAAATGTATTTATGACAAAGATGATGGAAAGCTTTCACAATTCCAATAAGTCATATTTCAAGAATATAAGATTAGCAATGATTTCAAAGCAGGGAATTACAAAAAACCTTGGAGGTTTCATATCGGCAAACAGCTTTCATCTTTCAAGCAAGGAAAAGGACCAGAAAAAAAAACAGAAAACCAACCCTAAACAATTTCATTCCAATATCACAATCACATTGAGAGGCCTTACCTCTTGCTCATGTTCTATTCTCATGCTGGGATTTGCGTTTACTTCTAGTAACATGGGCTTCAAGTTTTTCATCAGTAGAATGTCAAAGCCTAAGATCTGTGCATAACAAGCAGCATGTTACTTTCCTTCTACTTATGGTGTTCTTCTAGAGAATGCAACGGTCATCCAAATATCAACATTTGGTTAGAATAAACATTGGAGGGACAAAAGAAATAACTGAAAAATCACAACATATTGCTGAATAATTACTCCAGCCATTTGTCTTTGGTCTTACTGCCTACTTTCACACTACCCCCATCTCTAAATAGTGCATCTGTCAACACAGAATTTCAGCACCTATCACGATTGGGTCTTAAAACTGCCATTGTCATAGTTCCATTGGGCAACGGCAAAGCTTCATAGCTGTAACATCTAGAAGCTGGAACCTTGAGTGAATACTGATATTAATGATTGATCCCCATTAAAAGTTCTCCATATGTTTACATCGAGGAGTAACATAGGTCAGGTGACTGAGATTTGTCAGGTAAAACTTGGTTGAGGAGAACCTAAGCTAGGAGCTCATACAATGCATTGACCATTTTGCATCTGCTACTCCTCTTTCTACTACATCCAACCAGTGATCAGCAGCAAAACAAAAGCAGCAAAAGAGGAGCTTTTAGAAAAGGAAGGACACATACAGAAAATGTATCCACGTACAGAGATAACAGCATCCCTAACAGAAATCTCAACCCACCTGGAAGCAAGTTGGCCCAGGCTTTCCCACCGGTATGTCGGACTGATAGTAAACTTTCAGTTCTGGAGTCAGTGCAATAATTGTTTTAATCACCAGTGAAATTATATCTGACCAAACCTTTTTGACATCAGCTCCTCTGGAAGACAGTCTGCACAGAATGCTTGAAAAAGTCCTCTTGCTGCCAGTGTTTGCATTGTCAGAATGGATGAAGTTCCCACTATGGATATTTAGTGAATAGTTGGTTAAGTGCATAAAAACCTGGTGCAAATTTTTTACAGTGGGCTCTTGATAGGGCTCTGTACAAAATCTAGAAAGTCCATCTTTGGCTACATAAATCTCTAAGGGTTCTAAAGATTTCAGTAGGACATAAAGACGAATATCAAATTTCAGTTTGTCAACAAGCAGGGGTTTGCAAATATATTCCTGGACCACAGCTGGCCGGTTCTGGAGGCTTCCCGTCAGTCTGACATCACTTGGGTCTTTAACAAGGTATATTCCATCCCCCTGGCACCCTCCGTCAGGTTTTACAATAAAAGTGGGCTTCCAGGACGGATCGCTCTCTTTCATCATCTGAACCTAGGAGGAAAAGAATTATAATAAAGGACACTAACTAAGGGGGAAGAGGGGCTGATACTATGGAAGCCAAAAAAACACATTCATAACCAATAAATCACACGATCACATCACTAAAGTAGTGAACACCATACAAAAAAGGCAGAAGATAAACAGTACTGACAAGCACAAAAACAAACACGAGTAGAGAGTTACCAGTGCAGATAAAAGGGCTTTTTATTTAACAAGCCGTTATATTAATGATTCCAGGAACTTATTTTTAGTGTTACGCACCCACTTACAGAACGAAATGCTGTATAACTCATGAGGTCCATTCTACTAGTCATTAATGTGTATGAAACTGCAAAGTTAAACTTCTGTGTTGCATTTTGAACAATTATTGACAAAAATAATCATTAACCTAAGGAAAAAGCACCTTATTTATTGAGGCATGAATGCAATACAGGAAGAAAAGAAGATAAAGTAAAACTTCGACACCAATAATATCTTTTTCTACCACTAGATGTTTATCCAGTCAAGATACCCAATATTAGAAAACTCGGGACATGCAGATATTGAGCAAACATCACAAGTTTACAAAATAAAATATACGGTTTATGCCTCAGTTGCTACCTACCACCATTCTCCAAAATGACGTTTTTTTTCTAAATTACACCATAATTCCTCTCAGGCCTGGCATGCAATTACCAGCTTTCTATCCAATACAAGAGAAAAAAAAATCTATCACAATTTCAACAACTCATACCAGTGGCTTTGATTTGTATTAAGAAAATCTGTTCATATATCATGGAAGTTCAGATGCTTTCATTAGATGTACCTAGTGTGAAATGAGGACAGAATAAGGTTGGGGGAGAATTTGATGGTGGTCAGTAACAAATGGAAACCTTTGGATGGAGCTGCACAGCACTCCATGCCTGGACTGGCACTTCCTCCAGCTAGTACAGATGTTCAGTCCGTCGCCGTTTCTGTGCTGGTTCAGCATGAAACACAGTGCACTCTAGCGTATGAGCTCGCAAACAGCTAACACCAACATCTACACAGACATAATGCATTTTAATAGTCAAAAATGCTTAGAGAAGTCAATAAAGAAGATACATTTCACCTCCTTTGCAGAGAATTGCTTCTAGTTTACATATTTCTTTAAAAATGCGTCAATTACTCTGTAGTGCTAACAAATTATGTTCATAGAATATTTCCAGAAAACATCATTTCTACAGTCACACATTCATAAATGAACTTACTCTGTTACATCTTACTCAGATATGGCCTAGTAAGATGAACCTCCAAAGTGATTTCTATAGGGAGAATTATAGGATCACAGAGACGGTCTATATCCTCACAGAGAAAGTGGTAATAATCAAGTTCTAGAACTCTAATCTAGATCCAAATGCCTCATCTTCAAGAAGCCACTTATTCTGAACCTTTTGCTCAATCCCTCTGTGATTTGTGCATGCCAACATCAGCAACTTGATTTCTGGGGCATAAAAAAGGGCTTGGCACTTTAACAGCAAACAGCCTTTTACAGACACCAGCTTCTTGGAAGCAGCAATAATATATTTGAGATTTGGGGGTTAAGAAACTAATGCGAGTCACATAAAGAAGTCACAAAAAAAAAAAAAAAAAAAAAAAAAAAAAAAAAACAAGATGACAGACATTTTTCTTTCCTAGAGAAGCAGTTGTCTTTTGAGAAAAATCAGTGTCTTTTGGAACAGACTGTGTTAATGGTTGGCAGAAATAAACATAAGTATTGTAACAAGGTTGTTTTGGCCTTTGAATAGTTAAGCTGATACATTCATTGTGCAGGAAAAGTTTGGAAGCTAGTATCATTCCCAACTGGATACAATGAAACAGTTAAATCTGACACCGATAACCACCAGACTAAAATCTGCATTTTTGTAAACTACACATATTTACTCAAAACTTTTTCCATCAGAGAAAAGAGCAATTATGCCATCTAAATTGCCTACGAAGTTCACATTCCCAAGTAACAAACTTAAACTTTGCAAGCTTCAAAGCATTTTATTTGAAGAGCAAAAAAAATCAGTAAGATAAACTAGGTCACTGTAAGGACTTGACACAACTGCTGAATATCAGATCTCTGATGTTATATGCATATCTCCCACTGCCTAAAAAAAGGTTTTGTTTATTTATCACTTGTAGAGCAAAAGTAAGAACAGTAGACATTTGGATGCCTCAAACAACAGAAAAGAAATTGAGAATGAAAGTCATGAAGGATTTAAAGTTACCTAAGATGAATTTTAAGCACTATTCGTATAAATAATTACAACATGTAGCAAGGAAGGAGTATGAACACAGTTAACACGTTTCAGCCTCCAGAGGCATCCAAGCCAAAAACGTAGCTACATGGGGTCCTGGCTGACCAAAGACTTGTGTGCAATCTCTGTGAGTGCAGACAGCACCGGGGGTGCTCACACTGCCATCAGGGCCCGTTTGGCAACAGCAATGGTAATTTAGTGATCCACCTGGCATAGACAGAGAACCCAGGGGAATGGTATCATCTGCAATTGGTTTGGAGGTCAAGGACTGAGCAAGCAATGGAAAACAAGCTGCCACATCACCCTGGCAGTCCTTTAAATTCACGGTAAAGCAACAGCACCCTAGTGAGGAGCCCGTTGCAGCTCAGTCCGGTTCTGTTGTTGTTCTTTGGATTCAGATACAATCCCCGAGGGTGCAAGTCTAGCAGTGCGGCATTCACAAACACTCGGCAGAAAAGACACTGTTAGAGCACAAACTGTAATTTTCAAAATGTAACTATAAAATTCAAATTTCAGTTCATCTCCTGGGCCTTTTACCAGTGAAGAATAATCCTCCCATTCTATGACACAAAGCTGCGTACTGGAGGATTCTTCTTAGCTCACACTTTGTTCAAACCAGCATCCCAGAAAGATCCATGGCTAATCTTGAACCTCCACAACTAAACATGCTTTACTATGATTCGAGCCATACATACAAAGTGGCAATCATGGTCTACTAGGGCAGAAATAATAAAGAACCCTTTGAAATGAACAGGGCAATCTGCCTGCTGTTCCCCATGTCTATCATACACGCCTCAGGCTATTTTTGCTCTGCTGCAGCAGTACTTTTTCAAAAAAGATAATGCTTTCTGGGGACTATTGTTAAAGATGCAACAGCAACCTGCTTTTGAAATCCTGCGTTTTAACAATCATTGGTTGCTGTTTGAGGTCAGAACAAGATTTGTGTTTACTACAGAGAGAGGCCAGGATATCATACAAGTCTAAATGCCATGTGCTCCTTACATGCTGGCTTCAAAGAATAAAGCAAGACAATTCTCTGTTTTGTTCTCATCATCAAACAAGATAACTCATTTCTCTGACCAGCAAAGACAGCGGGAACATCATATAAGAAGTCTGCTGAGAGAACAGACAACTTGCATTTCAGTATAGACTAATTGAGGAGAGATTCAACGCATTTCAGTTTCAGGTTTGTCTTCTTGTTTCTAAATTAAAATTCTTGTGATATTAAACGCAATCATGCTTCCATAACATACCACAAGGATACACAAATGACAAAGTAAGCCCACTGATTCAGCCAAGGAAGTCATTATAGGGGAAGGAGGAAAAAAAGGAAAAAAAAACAACATAAGATTATTTCCAAGAAAGGTTTTAATGAAAGGCAGACAAGTTAATTTCACATAATGACTTCTCATATTATGTTAGATCAAAATCTCACGCTTAACTTTGCATTTAACTGCAAAAGAAGTAACTTCCCAAGGTCCACAACAAAGCCTATCGCTGGTAAATTACGGCACTACGTACACACTTCCTCTAGCCTTTTGTCTTTCCAGACCGGTATTTGAGCATCTTTCCAGATCTGCTTCAAAAGTGTTCTGGGTATTATTCAGGCCTTCTGTGCCTTCAAAACATGCCAGAAAGTATATAGGGGAAATAATAATCTGGAGTTGATCTGTGTTTCAGCAGACTGAGCTGCTTGAAGAACACAGATGATTTCTTGATCCTCAAGAAAATTCTCAACACTCACCTTGAAATTCTCCACAGTCCCCTCAACTGTATTCTGTCAAACTCCCTTTATGAGGCAGCTTGTCCAGACTGAGAAAAATCAGTCAGATAGGAAAATTAGTTGAAATGAAATTATATACTGTAATTAGCTTGGCAGAAGGAAATTATCTTTAAAAACATGCTAACCTCTACAGCCAACAGCAAGTCTAGTGGTGTGAAGACCTGATTCAGTTGCAGGTTCTCTCTTCTTGAGAGAAACACTGGCTGAATGAAATAGTATCCCCAAAACATACACGTAATGGGCTATAAGACTTGACAGCACTAAGAATGGAATATTCATGCCTAAGAGGTATCCAAAAGCTGAAACCTGATTAAGCCACCAAAAATACACTGTGCTGGAAATTAGACAGTCCAAATTAGATTTTTATTAAAAATTAATCACACTAGGCCTATTCATCATCTTCACAGACAACAGAAAGGTAGTAAGAGAGCTATCAAGGTCTTGGTTTGAATCCCAAGCTAGTTACTTTTCAGAAATTGGAATTTCCTAACAGAAATGAGTTATCAGATGGATTCTTTTCTAACAGTTAGTGAAGTAGTGATGACTGCAGCACTTGAGAGACTTGCTTATCTGTAACTCATCTCCAGTATGGTAACACCTTAGCAGGGAATGCTTTAGATGGTTTAAGAACAGTAAATATCTCAAATAGACATATTTACTAAGTAAAAACAACTTTTAACCCCTTATTAAAAAATCCCATCACCATTTCAGTTTAATATAAATGGCACTATTTATCTATAACATTTTCTTGGTATTTCCCAGTATGAAGCTTATCCATGACAAACTTATGAGTGCAGTTCTCTCATCGATTACTGTTTTTTAAAGCACAGAAGGTTAACACTAGGTTAATTGTTGTGTTTTCTAGCTGGATGTAGGTATGCAGGAAAGTGGGAAAAATGAAGAAGCTGACAGCACTTTTGTTTTGTACTTTCTTGTTTTAGAGGACTTACATTACAAACTCACGTTAAGCCAAACACACTCTTACAACATAAAATATAATGTTTGATAACAAGAACTATGCTTCTCTCAAACACAGATGGAAAAACATATGCAAAGGAAACTCCTAGGAGTGTGTTACTGGACATCTGTTGTTCTTGGAACAAAAACCAAATCATTTTCACTCCAGCAACCGTTCAACCAGAGAAAAGTATTTATTCGCAGTGCCACCTGCTGACAGCGTGCGTGTCTGCCTGTGCATTTACCCTGATGTACAGACCACATTGCTACGTGCTGCTCAGTTAATCAGTGCCTTGTAACTGAGACAGGCATGGTTCCCAAAAGAATCATTGCTAAAACCCCAGTGCGGCACTTTGAAAGTTTACTTCCAAGTTATTTTCACTTATCTACCTGTCATTTCTAAATTTATTGGATAATTTACACTCCTTTTTACAAATTGGCCTTACTTCTAAAGCAATAAAGCTGTGAAGCACTGTTGGGATTTTATTCATTTTTACTGTTACCAGCAGCACCATAGCAGTGACCCAGCACACTTGAGGAGCATATATTTAAAGATAGATGTTCGTGGATTTAATTGGATTGCGGGTACGGTAATTATCTAAAAAGTAACATACAGACTTCATTAGACTTCTACGCTGTATCTTCTTCTCTCACTTTTCCAAGCAAAGGACACTGTAGAATACAGGAATGCACTTGGCAAGTCAGATAAGGCTAAAACAAGCACATGTAATTTTAAAGCTATTTGTAATAATAGGACTGAGCACCAACACACAGCACTTTTTTATCCTCAGAAAAAAGCTGAATAAGCACTGCATTTTATCACATTCTGAATTAATTAAACAAAGAAACAGCTTGACGAGATTTAAAGAAGCATCTACTCAGGAAGATACGAGTATATTTAACAACACACTACAAAACTTTATTTTGAGAATTTAGATGAAATGGACAGGATGGACACGAAACACTTCATTAGCGATGAACCTGATACCATATTCCACACACTACAGTGCTGAAACTCCTTCAGTCCTTCTATACTCAGTACAAGACGCAGGGACAGGGATTATGTTTCTACCACCTAATTTCCAGACAACTCTTCTGGTATTGCAGAGAAGCTGAATTTTTATTTTTTTATTTTTTTAAAGTTTGTTCTAGAATGTAATCAAAAGCATTTCATCCTGTGTCTAATCACCTAAGTGTTATTTTAAATGATTTGGTATGTATGAAAAACTTAAGAATGACATGGTGACAACAAGTATATGATGTCTATGGTAATATCCAACAAGATATATATATTGTTCTTAATAAAAGTAATCTACCTCATCCACAAAGAGGGGAAATTCTTCTGGCAGAATCCAGGATCGAGGGTAGAAGTTATATTCTACAGGAAACAGATCTTGCATTGTTCTCACTGCCCGACTCAGTGTAATTTTACGTACCATCTCTGTCATGCCTGGAAAAAATAACAGACAGTATTTAAGAGTGATGAGGAATCCACACTGAAGTCTCATCTGAAAGTAAATTGTCGCATCATTACTCACCCTACTAGTAGGCACTACAGCCACTGCTTTCAATAAAGCTGAAAACCTTTCCAAATTTTAAATCTGACAAAACACCTGTAGCATTTTCCTGACACATTACCTATTATACGTATTACCATATCATGTAAGAAAAAGATCAATTTGATTATTCAAAACTTAGAATAAGGAGAGGGAAAGCCCTAGTCCAGTAGCAACTTCTGTCTTTGCTACAAACCCAAGTTATTGCCCTAGCCTGCTAACATTCCAGGAATAGGAAACAATGCCACTTAAATATAATCTACCACTTTGTGTTTACTTCCCACTCCTTTATGTAACTATATCAGAAAGAATAGGCTGCTTTGTGAGCAGCAGAACTTACAAAGCCTGCTTTCTGCAGCTTTCAATCTCATGCTTGGATCCTGCCTTCTCCCAGGACTGGGGCATTCCGGGTTATTCTCCTGTGTTGATTGCAAGCTTTTAAACATTACAACTAGGTCATGCTGCAGCTTCTATCTCAGTGAGAGCAGCGTGTGTGGGCTTTCTTTACTATACCTCTTCTTCAATAGAAGGAATTCGGTAAAACCCAGCATCAAGTTAGAGCAACGTTCCTGGAAACCACTTCTGGTTCTGAAGGACTCTGTTTCTTGACTACTGTGCATTCCATTCACTTACCACGCAGAACCCACAACACAGAGAGGGCAACAGTCAGGTAACGCTGATATTTAAACCTCCAGAGAACTATACCATTTCTATTTGAACTGTGAACTGCCCATAGACAGGAGAAATTTAGGGTAAATAGAGCATTAAGTTCGATATCTGAGGTTTCTTATTCTCACAGCACACTAACAGCACAGTAAATCTGAAGTAAAGCACTTAGATAAGTCAATACCTAAGCTCCTAACTCTTATTTAGAGAGATTTCAACAGAGGTTAAACAACAAAAAAGGGAGTTAAAAAAAAAAAAAAAAAAAACCACAGTAGAATAGCCATAATAAGATGAGGGCTTGCATGAACTCTTCGTTAAAAATCCATTTGAGAAGCTTTGCTTTGAGCTTCTTCCTGAGCTAGACCAGAGTATGAAGCAAAATAGATTTTCCAATCTGAAAAAAAATAAATAAATCCAAAGATACAACACTGCGATCAATGTTAGATAACAAAATAATTGCATACTTACTCCACTTAAATCATAACCAAAGACCTCTTTTCCCCTTAATTCATATATTAATATATTCTTTCCATCAAAACCTCTTCCTCTCTAAAACAAACTTCAGTTCACGAATTGCTTAAGATACACATTCTGGTATTCACACCCCCCTAAGCAGATTTCACCTACCAAAAATAATATGCTAAAAATACTATCAGCTGGCTAGGCAGATGACTCACACAGAAAATAGTAAGCCCCAAAAACAATTAATCATGTTTTTTAAGCACTCATTTAAAATAGAAACATAAATAAGGTACAGTACCTGGAAACTTGTTGACTTGACCTGAGAATATATCATTATCATGAAATGACACCCCATGCCAATAGATATCGCATGGCAAGCGTCTGCCAAAAGGAAACTAGAAAAGAGAAGGAGACAAGTTTTGAAGCAAACCGGCAATACTCATTCGTCATTTTTCTAAATGCTCATATTACATACACATCATTCAAGAACAGTACTGTCAATAGAAAACATGCTCTGTATTGTGGTTGCAAAACTAAGAACATTTTTATCAGTTCAAGGCACTTACGTTCAAGATGTTGAATTGGAAAAGGTTTATAGAAGAAAAAAAAAAAAAACCTCTGAGGCACACAATCTATCTGAGAAATTTAGAGCTTGTTATCAACCACAATTAAGGCATGACTCACTTGTAATTTGAAATACTATTACAGGGAATAAAGTTCATTAAGAAGCACTTAATTCCAGCACGCAAAGGCACAGCAATAGCAAGTGGCTACGGCTTAGAAGTAAACAAAACCTGAAAATGCTTTTTGGCTTGTTTTCCTTCCCAGTTTAAGGGGTGATAAGCAACCATCAAGGGAAAAAATCACTAGAGGTTAGGAATGAGTTGTCATACTGCCAGTTACTAAGTTCTATTGTTAAATAGATCACAATTCAGTACAAGCAATCCCATGGCTTCTATTTCGTGCTCCCCCTCTACAGCTCGGTAATCCAAATCCCTTCTCGTGGGTCACACCCACACCAGTGGTGGCCTCGTCCCCACCACGTGCTCCAAGCCTCGCACGAGCCATCGCCGCTCCCTATTTTGGGGAACAGACGTAGCCAGTTAGCAATGTGTGTTGTAAAGTAAGAGTAAGTTACAACTGCCTCGGACTTTCTGAGCAAGCACGTTTACATTGGTGTCCAAGCTGCAGGAAATTGAAAATGGATATTCAAGGCATTATCTATCTCTCTATATATATTTGATTATATGTATTCATACGGTATTAATTACAGGCTATTAGTAGCTGAAAGGAATTAAAAGAAAAGCTTACAGTTCAACTAATCATCTGTTGAGCTTTCAACTGGCAAGGACTAAGGCAATTATTTCAACCGTATTAAGTATTCCAGCAACTTAAGAGCTTCTTTTCCCATTCACACAATATTTCATCATAAATGGTGAAATTGTAGAGCTAGCTTTCTGCTATCAGAAAGTTTGGTGGTTTTCAGCCTGAAGAGCCCTCAAACAGCATGGGCAATTACTGATAGCAAGCTTCTAATAGTAGTAGCTATAAAAGGCTACCAGCAGTAAAAACAAATGCCCTAGATATTAGCAGTTCCAACCACCTAAAGCAAAAAAAAAATCACTAATAAAAATCAGACATGTATAAGCTCTGTTGCAGTAATAGTGGCTAGTTTTGTGTAAAAAAGGTACCCTGATTTTTCCTGCTGGTTCTCTTAGACATAGTCCCTTTATTCAAAGAAACCAAAGCCCAAATAACTTTATTCGCAACCCCCTGCAGATGCCGTTAATTACCACATGGAGCGCATTCACAGGAGCCTGCCCTGTTATTAGGTTACATCTTCTTCAAATGAACAGGCTGTACTTCTGACCACAGCACTTTCAGGATACAGAATTCATTCAAAAGCTTTATAAGTTTCATTTTTTTTTATTTCCTTCATTTGCTACTTTAATTAAAATTTCAGTTTCAGCGAAAAGCTTTGAAAAATTAATCTCAAACGCTAATTTAGCGACACATCTTTTCTCTATTTCCTTACTCCTAAGGATGAAATACCCCACAAAGCAGAGCTAGGGGATTCTTCACTTATTCCATTATTATTCAGCCTGCAAAAACTGGTTTTGTACATGTGAAAATTAATTCTGTTAGGCTCTGAAAGACAATCAGTGGCCTTAACCTTTCTACAGGTACATCCAGAATACAGATTCCGTGTTAGGTCTCATACTACCCTTCCCACTAAAAACTGAGCAACTTATTTATTTATTAAATGAAATGGAAATGAAAGGAACAAAATTTGCATTTATATAACACCTTTCATCTGCTGAAGATATCAAAGCACTTTACAAACACTGCACAGAAATCATTTCACAACAGATGAAGAGGAAGCACCTCTGGACTGGAAAGCGGAAGCCATTCCAGCCCAGAATCAGCAATTCAGATAGTTCAGCAACTTCTCTTCTTCTGACATATCAAGATTATTTGGATTTATCCAACAATGGGATCAAATTCACCTCCTGGATGTGCTGGAAAGGATTCTTTATCATCTGCACTATACTTTTACGTGAGAATAGTGTTTGGAAAGGAAGGAACAAGTCAGGTTTATTTTGCTCACTCTGCAGTGCTTGGCAGATATGAATTAATCTTGCTGGGTAAAAGGGGTCTTCTGCCACCTCCCCAGCTTCTGACCGATGGCAAAGGCAGGGTGCAGGCAGCCCGAGGACTTGGGGTGCTCACTGCTGCCACGGGACAGAGCTAAAAAAACGTGACCAAAGCCATCCCTGCCTCCATCTGTCTGCTCAGCCCGGTCCTACAACCAACTGCCAAGCCTTCAAAGAACCCATTTAAAGTCTTTTTTATTCAGAGCTGGGGCATTTGTCAGAAAAGACAAACAGGAGGCCACAAAGTGAAGAGAAGTGTTTTCACAGCTTTGACACAATTAATAATCAATCACAGCCAAGTTGCCTGACAGGTCATTTCTACCTTTTGATTGGAAGCCAATAATTTAAATTGTCTCCTGGGTCACATCAGTCTGTTCCATCACATTTAATGACAAGTTAAATGACTCGTCTTCTAGTCAGCTTCTCCTAGCGTAAAATTTCAAACTATTTTATGCCTCTGTGCAGCTCCTGAACAGCAAGACAAATGAAACGCTTGATGTTGGGACAGTTGATGCCCGAGACATCTGCTTCTTCCATTTCCCTAGTAATTGAAAGCTAGCCAAATAAAATAATTTATTAAGCCATGAATAAACTCAGGATGCAAGCTCAATTTGTGCCCATTATTGCATTTGGCGTATCATGTTCATTTAAAAGAATCTGACACACTAAATCAGATCGTCCAATCTAGCAATACCAGTAATTGCTTCGCTGGCATGCCCATTAAGGTTCTGCAATGGTTTTTAAAAGGTCCGCCCTGTACGTGGATAAACTGCTCACCGGTATTAGCCACGCTTAGAGCAGTCTTCCTCGGGTTTTGTTTTTTTCCTACAGTGGTATTTAACACTCATATAATCAGGGAGCATACTGCAACTACAGCCTGTGACTGAAACAAAGCCCTTCTGGCAAGGCAAGGGAACCACAGAAAGGAACTTTCAGGATGTATGACTTAAAACAAAAGCCTGTGTGACACTGACATAACACTATCCATCAGACAGAAAAAGCTACCAGGAAAATGTAGTCCACCTTAAAAACCTAGTGTAACATCTGCCCAAGAGAACATTCAAGACAGCACAGCCAGCAGCAAACGTGCAGAACAGGAACAGAATGACAGCAGCGATGGGAAAGGATGTAAGAAGTGGTGAGAGAGAAGGGCCAAATATACCAAATCAAAGCCCAAAATACAAACAACTGGAGAAGTATCACAGAGTGAAAAAGAGTGAAATACCAGCCCCTAAACCATCACTATTTCAATATACACGTTTCACTAATACTTCTAAGACTTTTTTCACATTATTTTTATGGACCATACAAGAAACAATGTGTGGTTCCTCCACCAGTCCTGCTGTAACAGTGACCCCGTTTCCAAGGCTATTTGGACATCAGCGACAATTATTTGAACACCACAGTGCTATTTTGCTATGTGTTCAAGAGGAAAAGCATTCAAAATGTTATGCAACTTGACCCAAAGAGGTTTCCCTGAATTTCTCTTCTTAAAGTCATTTACTTTTCTCTTCAAATCTAAACCAGATCTTGCCTACCAATTCCCTGCATCTACTGAGGTCTGCTACCTTGAAATCAATAGTTTGTCTTGCTCCTGTGCTAGATTTTCATCCTCCTGTTTTCCACAATGCAACCAGTACTGGCGAGGAGATATTGCTAATACTTCCCCTTTCAGTACGCCTGGGGGGATCTGAAAACTGATCTGACACATGAGAAAATACCTGCTTGACAAAAGATAACGTCACATCCATACATATTGACCCCTTCACTATAACAAGCTGAAAACCCTACAGAAATATATTGCAGGGACTTGTTTGAGAGGGATGAGTTATTAGCCACCTCCACGGTACAGGCAGATGTCCCACAGTTCCGTACCTGGTCATTTCTTTGTTAGGAATAAGAAAAGGCTGCAGGGGGAAGCAACAGACTAAATGAGAAATATTGACCATGCAAACAGATGGAAGAGAAAGGGTATTGAGGGAGACAGCAAACAGAAAAAGATTAAGTGATGCCAGAAGCAATCGCTGTTGGGGAATACGGAGCAGGAAGGAGAACACCGATAATGCAGCGTGGATATTCGGGAGGAACGAGTCAGGCTGCAGGACAGCACACCGTGCCTGCAAAATCCAGGGGGGGAGCTCACAAACTCTGAGCATAAAAACTTAGCCAAATAAGAGCAACAAAGACACATTAAATGTGAAGGATGTCGGTCAGCACAACACAGAGCAAAGCTGCTGACGGACCCCCGCGGGGGATGAGAGGGAACCACAGCAGGTTGGGCTTCCTCCTCGGGGGCTCAGCTCCTGCTCTGCACTGAGAGCAGCAGGGCACGGGACGGAGCTCCTGAAGCTTTTAACTCCGAAGTTAGGAATAACACAGAAGGACTGCCTACCCCAGCTCTGTACAAGTTTCCTTTATAAGGCACCAGGTGCAAAGGAATATCGGGATCTGGTGAGCCCGGGGAAGGAGGGAGAGACAAAAGGCAGAAGCAGGGAGCTGCACAAAGGAACATTTCTTCATCCCAGCCCTCTACTTCGCTTCCCTCTTCCAAAAGGGTTACAAGCACCTTTTTTTTTTTTTTTTTTTTTTTTAGGAAAGCTCCCAGAAGCCATCTGTTCCTATAAAAACACTTACAAAGCTGCTGCAGAAAGCCGCTCTTCACCCCCAGAGAACCCTTTAACACCTGCACCACACCACCCAGCAGAAACCTCCTCAGGCTTCACGTGAGGAGTTCAAAACCCCCAATTCTGCCCCAATTCGCCTCTTCCCATGCCTCCACCCCTCCCTCCCCCTCCGGGCCGGGCCGCAGCCCCCCCGGCGCCCACCTCCCTCCAGCGCAGCTGCCTCAGGCTGATCTTCAGCGCCTCCAGCGACGTTTTGGCCTTGGAGCTGTCCACCGTGACGCGGGGCGGCCGCCGCCCGCCTCGGCCTCGGCCCCCGCCCGCCTCAGCTCCGCGCCGGCCCGAGGCCCGCCCGCGGCACGGCCCCGCTGCCTCCCGCTCCTCCTCCACCTCCTCTCTCCGGGAGGGCAGAGCCGGGGACCCCGGGGCCTCCGCCGCCTCCCGGGCCGAGGCGCAGCCCCCCGGAGCGGTCCCGGTGCCGGCCGCCTCCATCCCTCCCCGCCGCCGCCTCAGCCCGGCCCCTGGGCCCCGGCCCGCCCCCGCGCGTTGCCATGGCGACGCCGACGCCCGGGCGGGTGGGGCTGAGGACGGAGCGCGCGAGGGGCCAGCCGTCACGACGCCGTCATGACGCCGCCGCGGCCATGTTGGGAGCGGGCAGGGGGCCGCCCGCCCTTGCCGGGGAGGCCATTTCGGAAAGGGGCGGGGCGCGGCGGCCATGTTGGAAGCGGGCGGCCCAGCCCCTCAGCCGCCCCCTGTCAGCCCTGGGGCTGGGGGGGGTGACACATCCGTGTCCCTGTCAGTGCGGGCAGGCGGTGCCCAAATCCCCTCACACCGAGATAAATCAGGGATTTTGTGCTGTGGGCTGCCTCTGGGCCTCGGCCCCAGTCCCTTGTCCTTGTCCAATAACACCCAGCTTGCTGCCCTGGCCACTGTGTGATTAAACAGTTTCTGTATCTACCCTTAAATAGTGTCTGTACCTACCCGAATTGTTTGCGCTGAAAGCCTCCTGCAGGAGCTGCTCGGGAGGTGTACAGCTGGCAGACCCGCACTGGGCCTGTTGCTTGGGGCCACACTGCCTGAACGGCTCTGCAGCCCCAAATCCGCAGGGTTTGTACTGAAAACACCGCCCAGGGCTCCTGCGCTCAGTGCTGCACCTCGGCTGAGCACCGCGCTTCTGGAGTCACTAAAGAGCAGTATCTGTACTTAAACACGCTCCTACGCTGCTGGAGGGAATCAAAAGCACAGCAAAAAAACGCAAAAAACATTTGTCTTTTATAGTGTCCATAGCTAACAATCTTGCGTGCGGTTATATGAAGCCCCCACAATATTAATTTATGAGACGCGATGCATTTGAGGTCACACGAGTGACCTGCCCGGTGTCCCAAAGGACAGCAAAAATAGAGATGGGAAATGCCAAAAGCAGGACGGGCCGAGGAGGCTGCCTGGGGCCGGCTCGGGCAGGAGGTGGCGCTGCGCCCCCTGAAATGGGGCTGGAGGGGGGCAGAGCCGGGAATCACCTGGATTGTGCGAAATTGCTGTCCTTAGGCTCGTTTTCTCGATCTGTAGAAGGGGCAGGACCGAAACAGGATGTCAGGGGGGGGGGGAAAATCACTTAAACGAAAGCAAAATTTAAATAAATGCAGCAGAATTTGGGACTTTCCGTTAGCTGTGAGTTAAAATTAAAAGTCACGTCAGGAAGATTAAGATCCCGAGCCGGGAACTCAAAAGACCAGGGTGAGACATGCACATATCTTCTACCTGCTACACCAGGTTTAGAAACATCTGGATTAATGTCTTGCTCTCATCTCATGCTTCCTGGTATTTTACAGAAATCAAGGCACAGCGTGTCACTACCTGTCACTGGACATCTGGACCCTTTTCCACAAATTATCAGCAGTTTACAAAGAAGAAAGTTTGTTCACCCAGATTCTCTCTAATTTCAACAGCCAACTAGACTGACACCTGCAAACAGTGCCTGCATTTTTTCAGTGCCTCACCTATCTTCTGCCATTCACCCTTATAGGCGAAGACACTAATTAATTAATTATTTACAACATTGTGCCTTACAATGTGACGTGACCAGGAAAGTGAGATCACATAGCTCACTCTTGTTTGCTATTAAATGTGCATTTTTTTATAGCTGTGACAATTCATAACTGAAAAGTTGGGAGCATTTCACTGAGCCAACAGGAGCTCGGTGGGGCTATAACTTGAGCAGCGATGTTCTGTCTGGGGATTGCCTTTTCTGCATGTTTCAAAAAACTGTGTAAGGGCACATCCTGGCTGTCTCACCAACCACCACCAGATGGGAGCAGCTATTGGTGTCTGCCAACAGGAGTGTGATTTAAAGTGGTGACCTGACTTGGGCTGCCTCTGATTTTACTGCCAGGCCCCTGGATGAACACTTTTTAAAGCGTATTTTAGAGATTTATCATCACCAGTATCAGCAGTGTTGAAGAAAAGCCAGGGAAATAGTTCAGATGGGTCAAGGCACTATGAGATTTCAGAGCACGGGAAATCCCAAACTAAATGATTGCAAAGGAAAAATATTTGTGTATCTAATTATTACATATCCACATTTCTTATAGCCTAATAAGGTACTAGTGCTTTCTCTACCAGAGCAGCTGTAATACATCAGATACCTGGTTTGCAGTGTGTAGTATGGATAAAACCTTCATTTCATGTTGAGATAAATAGGGATGGTCTGCAGTGTACAGCATGAAGTCTGACTGTGCGTGATACTCGGGTACTGCAAGGTAGGGGAGTAAAGTATAGGTTGAGTAGTAATGAGCTAGCAAGGTAATTCAGAGGGAGAGTGTATCCTGCTGAAAATTGCAAACTGGATCTACCAGCAAGAGGACTCTTCGTTCATTTGCAGGGATATTCTCACTGAAAGCCTAATTTTGAATATTACACTTTCCAAGTCAGTAAATTGAGCAGTATGGGCTTCTCTCCATGACAATGTCGATCCAAGCACCTCTCGAACTGGAGATGAACCATACTGCCTACCTGTGGCATACCAAACTCATGAATCACACATGGGCGCACACTAAGCTTATGAGTTTAATAGGTCACAATGGTTTTCTTAAATGGTGAATTTGAGTTCTAGTAAGCTCTTTTGTTGTGAGTCTGGATCAAAATTTCTAGTGTTTCTCTAGCATTGTAAGAACAATAAATGTATTTCTTCTCTATTTATTTTTTTTTAAGACAGCCCGGGGAAGTAAAACATTGTGGCGCATAATGTGTAAAATGAACATACAATCTTTTTAAAATATCATATAAAACTGGGCTCCTTCCCGTCACAAAGTAAGAATTACTTGAAGAAATACTCTGGCAAACTGTTTTGAAAAATAATACATTCTTCAAGCTCCTGTATAAAAATAAGTTACTAATTGAGAACTATCCATCCGTTTATGAAGTTTATAGTTCCTTTTGCAATAATGGTGAATATCTTCTGTCAGTTGTGCTTTTGCAAATCAACAGGAAAGCAATGTTTTATAAAATGAAATGTCAGAAGAAAACATAACTAGTAAACAGACTTGGAAAACGTCGGTGTTGTTATTATGCTTCTCAGACTGGGTTTAAATTTGTTTACATCAGCCTATGCTTCCAATATTTATGTTAGACCACTGCAGATTTGTGGTTGACCTACATATGCAAACAAAACATTTGCTGCATATTTGGGGAGGGGGGATTTGCATGACAGAAGATGATGAAAATATGCATAATTATAGATGACATTTTTCATTCCCGAATCCTGCTGCACCGAACTTTGGAACTGGCCATGCATGAAAGAGGCTTGCAATTCTAATGGGCAGATTTCCTGGCTATGCTACAAAGCTGAACCGTGAAGACCTTAAGCTTCTGTTTCTTCTTGAGAGACACAAATCTGCTATAATCATCTAACGAAGCAGACCCTGTACTTGCAGAGAACACATGACGCTGACTGAGGAGGACTGAAAGAACGACGCTGGGGTAGCCTGTTCCACATGTCACTTTTGAGTTCACATCATATGGCACCCTCAGAGACTCACTGAAAGATTTTGCTTGTGATATTTTCCTTGTTTTCTTCAAATCCTTGATACGGCAGAGAGTAACATCACACAATTTCAGCTAACAGTACCTTGCCTCCATATTTCACCACACAGCACCATTTATAGGATGTGGTTGCTGCCTCCAGGCTTAACTGGTTAAACAAAGATTTTACTTTATCACCTAGTGATCACAGAGAGTTATCTGATGTAGGAGTAACTGCAGGACAAAATATGTTTCTGAATAACCTTTTCCTACCATTTTATCCACCTTTATTTTGATAATTTACTTATACAAAAAAGTTAAGCAGGTATTCTGATTTGTTCCCAATGTTTATGTTAAACTGAAGGTCCAGACCAATTCATTTAAATGAAGGTTGGGCATCTGCATTGTTTGGAATAGAGTTCTCTACCTTCCTTTGCTTCCAGATCTTCTTTTCCACTAGAGGAGAGGGCATCTTCTGAGAACAGAGGGAAAAACACATACAAAACCCTCTGACCTCACAGTAGCTTTGTAAGACAACATTTCATGGCCTTGGAGAACTCCCGACATGCTGTTCCCCTTAAGTCTCTGTCTTAACTTTTGATCAGTGTTTTACGATATCAAGAAAAGCCAACAAGCCTTGCTGTGTGGTAATGCTGTTTAATTTTGCTTCCCTTGAGTAAAGAAGTGACTGTGAAGGAAGTAGAACACATCTGAAATTTTAGAAATCCAAAAGCAACATACATTTTTTGCTTCCACTAGCAGAGCATGTTGTTCCTGTAATAGCCTGTCCTCCCTTGCCTCCACATCAGCTCATCCTGCTCTGTAGATGGAGGGGACAGAAGCTGGTTGTTAGCATTACGTACAGAAATAAGTCCATTTGATCTTAATCTATTAAATTTTACTGCAATAAATGCTGATTCTCAGTAACTATAAATTGGGCATACTTTGCTTCATTCTGTCCCTTTATTAAATGTAAGCAGCGTTTTTCTGTATTCAAGAGAATACACATCTGCTGAAGATTGGCAAGTGAATTCAGCTGCTTTATCTCACACGGCTGTCCACTGGCACACTGAAAGTCTGCTACCATGAAAGTACATTGGAGATTTGCTGTAAAAATTGCAGCAGAACAAGTATTAATAATGCTAATAAAAATGACATGACAAAACCACATCCGCTAAGATAGCAAACTTGTAGAGATCTCTCAGATCTTAGGAGCATGATATGGATGTGATTTCCCATAAAGGAGGTTTTATCGGCTGTTACTGGATGTCGGTGCGGTTGTTCTTGCTATGTCACATCTTATTTATCATTTAAAATCTTTGCAGTTCTGCAGAGCAGAAATAAGTGCTTAAAATGGTTAGCAGAAGGGAGGAATATTTCTTGGCATCAAAACCAAATCTCCTGCGGAAAGTGTGCAGTGTATCTGCAACTTCCCTATCTGAATTGTGAAAGTGGGTTTTGGAAGAAACCTGACAGCATCGGATGGGAGCAACAGCTACCTTCCATGCAAATCAACCGAAGAAACAGTTAAAGGACATGCTATAAATACCCTCTACCTGATTTACATCTCATTCAAGGTCTCTTCAAATTAGGAAACTATAAACAAAGAGAGATTTCCATTTGGAGTGAATGTCGATGCAAAGACTGAAACGTGCATGTGTAAGAGAAAGAGAAGGAAAGAAACCTTGGTAGCTGTGCCTGAAAAAGAAAGCTGATACAAACCTGCTCTCCGCAAGAACACTTGAAGCTATGAGCCAAGAAGCTGTCTTTGGTGCTTAACTCCCACCGTGTTCAGAGAAATGGGACTTTCTAAGTGTGCTTTGCACATCAAAGGAATAACTAGCTCAGTACCTCCATCTGATGCAAACACCCACTATGAAGTTTGGCTAACCGCTCACATCAAGAAAGGGTAATGCTTGTAAGGATTTGTTTATACCAAATCTGTGATGATATACGGTGTAACAGTTTAATTCCACATATTTGCCCAGGTTTATTATCCAGAAGGAAAGACAGCTTTTCTTACCTGCAGTGGAGTCAGAGAATTTTCTTTGCCCAACAAAGAAACAGAAAACTAATGGCTTCGTAAGTTTAGCAGCCTTCAGACTCAATTCTCAAACACAGATCCAAACCATTAACCTTAGAAGAGCTAAGCCCTATGAAGAGTTCATGGAAGTTAATGAACACGGAATATTAAACAACTCCATTCAATTGTGATATAACAGTCTGGCACTGCAAGCTTTATTAAATCACAATTGCCTTATTTTTCCCAGGATTCCTGTGAAATGTTCCCGTCCCCCTACCCAAAGGATTTTATAATCTGCAGGATACTGGAGAGCATCAGAACTGAAATAAAAAGCCCATTCTTGTTATTTCATCCTGTCTACCAGATTAAAAGATTTGACTCTCCCAAGCAAAGTCCACATGCTCCCACTCACATGGGAACGCTCTTGTGTCAATGGGAGGGAAATGAGGAGGAGCTTTCAGCTGCTCAGCACCGTGACAGGTTCGTGCATGCCTCAGTTAAAATGCAGTATTGCAGAATCAATGTAGAGACTCGCTAGCAGTGGCTGTGTTAGGCTTTCTTCTCTTACTGGGTGAGCTTCAGTGGCGTTAGCATCAAAGGAAGCACAAGCACAGGCTGTGCCCAGATGACTGAGTGGCATCTCCTACTCTTAGGGCTTAGAAGAACCAAGGACTGCACTTTGCTCCATCACTCCAAGGCCATTTCCACACAAAATCTAGGTTTTTCATTCTGGTCAACAGATATTTTTTTATATCAGTATTTCTACAAGATAAGTGCCATGGAAGATTCTAAGCAGGCAAAATCAACAGATAGCTAAACCAATGACTCTGCAAGTGAGATGTGTATCTAGGCTGATTTTGAGTTATGCTGAATGAAAGAGTGTGTGTGTATATTAAAAAGAAAGGAAATGTAACACTGTAACTTTGAAATTAAAAAAAAAAAAAAAAAAGCCTGTCTGGAAACAGAAAAACAGCACAGACGCTGACCACAGAACTCATCCCAGCACTACATCCGCAGTTCCAGAATGAGCTGCTAATACCACAAAGTACTGGAACATGTAGGCTCACAGTCAGTGAACCAACATTAATTTCTTGGACTTTTTCTCGCTCTCTTAATTGTAAGTTTCTGGATTTTTGGCTCCTGTCCATCTCCCTTCTGACTTACAAGTCTCCAGAGATGCCAAGAAACTCAAGATGATTACTCTCATGAGCTGGAGACAGGGAATAGTGCACTGTCTGCCTGTGGCCAAAATTTTCTCTCTTGCTAATGTTAAAGCCACACAAAAGGTGGTGTCCAGCAATGCCCAAGCATCCAGCTGGGTGGATATTTGTATGAAAGTTATAACTGATCGCTCAGAAATTAATTCTGAGGAAGCCAAATGAAATCAGCCGGAGCAGATATAAGCCCCATCCCCTTGGGTTCTACACAGTTGACATTTCTGATTGTTCCTGTAAATGACAGAGTGCGGCTGTACTAACAGCTGGCAGCCAAATCCTGGGTCCTGCCACCAAGCCGTGCACGGCTCCGCACCCGTCCGTACCTGTGCTGATGCCTGCTGAGATCCAGCTGCTCGGGCACGTCGGGCATCCCAGGGCAGCATCCATGGGGGCTCTCCTGTGTGCTGGCAGAGCTGCACCACGAAGGCAAAGCTGGGAAGGAAAGAGCAGCCTAAGAGCACAGCAAAAGCCCCAAATCCCAGCAGTGTATTGAGTCGGTCATTGGGCATCAACCGTGCAGGCTTCGAGCAGAGGGCACATGTTAATTGCTAACGAAGCTACATCACGTTAAAATGGGACGTGTGTAATTGTTGTAGCCTACCGTTTGTGCACAGAAGTTGCAGCGAGAGCCTAGCTCGTTCTGCACAAAGTCTTTTTCAGAATTTCCAACAAAGGGCGTGCAGCAGGTGCTGCCGAAATTATACAGCGTGACTTAAACTGTCAAAAAAATAGAAAAAAAAAGGCAAACAATTCAACCGGGACGGGCCTGCATCCTTAACCCTTGTTCTCGCAGCACAGCTCCCAGCCCCGGCTCCGAGCCCAAGGCTGCAGACCGGGAGCCAGCCCCTGGGGCCGCTGTGTGGGGACGGGCGGGGCTTTTAGGCACAGGGGGCGCGGGGCAGCCCCCCCAGGGGGGCACAAACCCATCCCGACAAAACCTCCAAACCCCAAGCGGCTCCTTGCGGCCTCCCCTTCCCCGAGCCGCCCGGGGCTCGCCCCGTACCCGCTCGGGGGGCGCCTCCACAGCGGGCGGGGGGGCCCCCCCCTCAACCCCGGTCCGGGTCCGGTGCCGACGGCCGCCGCCCCCCGCATCACATGAGGCAACTTCGGGCCAATGGCGCCGCGGCGGGGGCCGGGGCCCCGCTGGGTGCCCGCGGACGCTCATTCAAAACGCGGCCGGGCTCGGGGCTCCGCCACCGCCACCGCCGCCGCCTCCTTCCCCTCCTCATGCCCCGGCCGCCGCCCGGAGCCGCCGCGCAGCCGGGGGGCGCCGCCACCGCCTCCTCCTTCTCCTCCTCCAGCCGCGGGGCTCCGCGGGGCCGGGCGCCCCCCCCCCCAGCCATGTCCCCCCCTTCTCCTCCTCCTCCTCCCGCCGCGGCCTGAGGCGCCCTCCCCGCCACCGCCGCGATGCCGGTGAAGAACCGGTACAACCTGGTGGACGATGGCTGCGACTCCCGCGTCCCGCTGCACAACGAGGAGGCCTTCCAGCACGGCATCCACTTCCAGGCCAAGGTGAGCCGCGGCTCGGCACCGCTCCCCCCGCCGGAGCCCCCTCCCCACCCAAGGGACACCCAAGGGACACCCGGAGGCTCCCCGGGGTCCCCCCCCTGTGGTGCTGGGCCCCGCACCGAGCAGTCCCCGGGGGGTGGTCGAGGCCGGGGTCTCGCCGTGCTCCCCCCACCCCAGAGCATCCCTGAGGTGCCCCCAGCTGGGTGCTGGGCCTGAGGGAAGCTGCTGATGAACTATGGAAGCTTTATGCTTAATATCACAAACAGGTTCTTTTATTTTTCCCATTTTTTTAAGCTGTTCGGTGCTCACGAGCCTGGTGTGCTTCATTTATGTGCTGAGGACCCCCTCTGAGAGGGGCAGGTGCTGGCTGCACGCATCCTGCCTCTGTCCCCTCGCTGCGCAGGGTCCTGCTCCTGCCACGACGAGGTGACAGCTCCCGATCCCTCAGAGAGCTGCAGGCTGCTACCTGCTGCTGAGGAACACCTCGTCCCTCACCCCCTTCCTTGTCCCACCTGAGCTGACCCCTGCTTGAGCAGCTACACATGGGAGGGCTCCGTTTAAACGCACGCAGTCGTGGGGTATCAAGGAAATAGGGATAGCGTCAGAAACTTCACGCTGATCATGAAAGATGGTCTGGCACTGCACCACCACCGAGTGAGCAACTCAGGGGAATTGGCATTCTGTGGGCAGCGCTGGGAATGGGTTTGTAATTCGCCTGGCAAGAGGAACTGCGTTTTGCTGGAGCAACTCTGGGGCTTTCTTCCCCTCTTTGCAGGTGGCCTAGCACAGATTAGAAATGGAATTCACGCCTGCTGTCTCCTGAGCTGGAAAGAAGGGGAATGTATTCAAATAAAGCTTTGGAACGTGGATTTTGTGCAGTCTGGTTTTCCTGCTAGAAGAGCTGCAAGATGTAAATGGGATGTGAGGATGAATCTGAACAGACAGTTGATCACATTTTAAAAACCTCTCTTCCTTGGGGAAGAAAAACAATTAATCTTTGTTTCTTTTTTTAAATTAACAGTTGCTACACCACAAACTGTGCCGAGAACAAAAATCCGTATTTTTAAAAGATGTGAACAGGCTGTACCTTTAACTGAGTGCAATGGGCTTCGTAAGAGCGACAGCGTTAGGCACCCAGAGCTATTCAGAGAGCGGGTGGCTGCTGAAAGGCGTGTGGGTCTGAGCTGGGGTGTGCATTACCTTAGTAACGTGCTGGCTCCGTTCTGTTCTCGCCTGCCTCTCCCAATGAGGACACTGACTGTGGGCACACCACTCAGCTGCAGCTCAGCGTGACAAGGCTGCAGCAAGCAGCCAGGTGTCTTACACCAGGCCATCTCCCTGGCCACTCAGTCTCTAATCTCCGCATACCAAACCGTATTGCTTGCCCTATAATCTTCGGGGACAAATGTCACAAGGTCAGAAACGGGAGCTGCATGTGGAAAGGTGGCTGCGTGCACAGGAGCACAGGCACCTCAGCTCTTCCAAAGCAGGGAGTTTGGGAGAATCTCGCGTGGCTCTGCTGTCACCAGTTCTCTTCCTGCCCCACCTGGGAATTCACCTTTGGCAGGGTGGCCTGTTCCTGTGCAGCTCTGCGCAGACAAAAGCCCATTGGGAGTAGCCATGACCACACTGATGGCCACCTCAGAGAACAAGATGCTTGCAAACAAACAGGCGCAGCTCTTGAGAGACGCCGACATGCCCTTGCAGTGAGGGCAGAGGGAAATCCTGGCTCCTCTTTCCCTTCTCTGCTGCCCTCCAGCTCTCTGGCTGGAGTGGTTTGGCTCTCCTGCGGTTTACCAAAGGACACGCCTGAAGTTGCTGCTCTCAAAAATGCCATTTTGCAAAGGCATTTACAGAAACATCAGAAAGAACAGATGACCTTTCAGATTGCTTGCGGTATTTATTTCAAGGCAGATAAAAGACCAGTAAATACCGAGCCAGGAGAACTCATCTCTGAAAAGCTCCATTATGCAAAAGTTTTCAGGATAAAACCCCTTGCAAGCTGCAAGTGTTATAGCAGAGAAATTAACACTGAACTGTGTCAGTAACAGTGACAGCTCTGCAGCTGCTCTCAAGGAACTATTTGGTCTCTGTTCATAGCTGTTACCACATTAAGTGTTTGCAGGGTTCTCCTGACTAGGTGCCTCCTTTTTCCTCCCCCTGTCACAGGGGAACAAACTCCATAAAAAAAACAAAACAACAACTTGGAGCCAAACACGACTCATGAACCAAGCGCTCAAGATGAGGACTAAGCTTTGTCACCTGCCCTCTGTCCTGACAGACCCCCCTGGGAAAACGCCAGTGCCAAGCTCCTTGCTCAAGCCCCTGCTGTCGGATGAGGACACTTCTCCCCGCACCACTCAGCCTTGTGCTCAGGCAGCATCTCCCTGCCCTCTCCAGCACGCCCTGGACAAGTGAAGCCTCTCCTCAGCACAGCACTGACACAGCACGAGAGAACAGGCTGCCAGCTCGCAGAGAGCTGTAGGTGTTGAGGGCCTGGCGGCCACCCCCTGCCTCACCTTTCAGCCCCAGAGCAAGGGGTGCTGCTGCCCTGCTAGGACTCGATGCTCAGGCACAAATCCTGGGTGCCACGGGAAGCTGCTGTGGCATCGGTGTGGGCTCACCCAGCAGCTTGGTTGGGATTGCAGCCCCTGTAAGCTTAGTTAGGAGCAGCTGGTACAGGACACAGCTTGGAGCGTGTTTATGGGATTGCAGACAGGTGAACACGTCCAGCCAAGCAGCAGCAGTGTCCAGGGGGAAGATGGTCCCGACTGAGAAGCTAGCCCAGACCTGTGAGCCTGTTCCAGCAGGGCTGGTTACCGCACATCCTGGTAACCCTCTCGTGCTTTTAGCTCCGAGTCCTTTAAAAGATGTGGAGAGGAACAACAAAGGATGGATGATCCCATTTTCAGACCCATGGGACTGTGATTTGATTCATGCAGATGTTGCTGTGCAAAGCACGGGCAAAGGCACAGCCAGAACCTGAATCCAGTCAGACTCACACCCAAAGCTAGGAGTTAGACATCTCCCTACCTTCGATAACACTATCTACAACGCACATCCCTACCATGCCCTGGGTTAAGAGTATCTAACCACGCAGGGACTGACCTGATGAGAGATGCTGTTTGTTCTGAAGATGCCTACACCATTAACTCGTGCATTGCTTCATGAACTCTCTCTCTGTTCTGTCTTTCAGTACATCGGTAGCTTGGATGTGCCCAGGCCCAGCAGTCGCGTGGAGATTGTGGCAGCCATGAGAAGGATTCGGGTAAGTTCAAAAGAGCTGAGTCTCATGTGGAATAAAAAGTTACCTTCACTGGAGTGACGTGGTTGCAGTGTGCTGTTCCACGTTTTCCTCCATCTCCCCCTTCCTCTCTGGAGCTCAAATCTCAATCAGGATTGTAACTCGCTTCTCTAGAAACTCCCAAGGCACGCTAGGATAGACCCGTCCCCCTGTTCTTTGCAGAATGATCAGTTAGGAGAGCTCAGACATAAAACCCTAGCCTCTGCCGAGGAGGTATGGAGATTCTCCTTGAACCTAAGAGATTTATTTAGCCTGTTTTTTTTTGTACAAAAAGCAAAATGAACACAATCTGCTTCACAAAAGCACTCAAATTCACTGACAGTTCTACGTACATTATGTTATTATATGCTGAAGTATCAGTGACCTGGCAGATGTTATGGATGTAAATCCCATTAGACAAGACTTTGTGGATTCTGCTGCTCACAGAATAACTCGCTGTTTTTTCCCTGTCCTTCAATACAGTTTCACAGTTCCTGTTTCTCATCATCACGTCTGCACTCTTCCTCTAGCCCTTTACTTTTCAGAACAGCCTGTGAATGGTCACCAGATTCAGCAATGATAAGCTTTGTGGCTAGCTTACATCTGCTTCATGTTCAAGTGCACCTACCCCAAAAGGCAGTGCAGCCGTCGTGCCTTGTATTGTGCGGGTCTTAACTCTGAGGTTGTTCCTTTGGCTCACATCAGCTGAAGCAGGTTTGAGAATCTTCCATTTAGAGCTTTGAAGGGATTATCCTATTCTCCACCCTTCCCCCCGCAGTGTTTAACCATCTATTTTTCATTTAGAGTACTGCTTTTTAAACTTAGCCTGCGACTGACTGAGGAGCTGATGTATTCATCTCCAGCCGGGCTCAGAAATGACATTCTGTGCCTGCTCAGGCTCTTAGCACAGCTCCTGCTCAGAACACGGTGCAGTCGCAATCTAAATTGCCCGGTTATTTATGGAGCAGGTGAACACCAACAGGAAGCAAAGGTGCGGAGTACTGGGCCAGTTCAGATACTGGTGCAGCTATTAATAAGTTTTGCTCTGAATCGATTTTTTGGCGTTTTGACAATGCACAGCAAAAGCGGCTTCTTATGATCTTTGAGCAGGTAACACCCTTGCAAGAAAAAGGTAATATTTTAAACCCAGTTTCCAGAAAGTGTTACATTCTGTTTTCACACCTGCTATTGCCCCAGTGGCACCGTGTCTAGCTCTGAGTCGTGGCAATGCCATAACACGGTCAGGTGCTACGTGAGGCATGTAACAAGCCACTCTGCATTTCTGGATGCCATCAATTAATCCGATCGCACGATATTTTTAAAGTGGGCACCCTGTATTCTATACTGGATTTTTAATCTTGGGAGCCCTTTCCAAAAAGGGAGGGCTTCCCTTTTCATGCGCGTATTGTACAGCAGGATCTCATTCAGACGCTTCCTGGCTGCTGAGCGGAAGATGCTCCTCTATTGAAGATAGTTAATTGGCACTGATCCTTAATTAGAGCATAAAGAATGAACTGGGAGGTCTTTGAAGAGAGTTCTAGTGCATGGAGTACACAACCTAGGAACTGAGGGAAGATGGGGGTTATTTATGTAGCATTCATTTGCATGCAGCGGCCTTGTCTATACTAGAGTCTTTTCCCATGGGCTCTCAGCAGAACCAGTTACAACTGGGAGGAAACACTGGGAGAAGCTATTGGGGGAAACCAGTATTTTGCTACCACCTTATTGTGAGCGGTAGCGCCTGTTTGCGCTGCGAGAGCGAGCAGGGTCCTGCGGCCCTGCCAGGCCTTGGCGAGGGCACGTTCTGCTGCAGCTTTCATCCTTTGTGCGCCCCAGTGTTCAACTGGAATTCTCTGCTGGAGCAGAAGAGAAGAGACGCGCGGTACAAGCCCCGGCACAACATTGCTGGTGCTGCCCTGCGACACCACAGGAGGAGGCAGCACCGGGGCAGGCAGGGCTGGGAGCCAGCTGAGCACGGGGGCAGCCCCTGGCACAGCCCAGCTGTTATTTGTGGCTTCTGCTGCTCCGAGAGGGGACCAGGGAGGAGGATGAGGAGTTAGAGTGCCTCCCTTTAGGGAGTCACCACCAAACTCCACAGAGCTGGTTACTCTAGTTACTCATTAGTAAACTAATACAAGCTCTGAAACTGCCTTCCTACTCCTAGGCCTGATTCTGGTCTCCACTCTGTGATTAAAAGCACTTGCCCCAGGGAAAAACCAAGAGCTACCTCACGCTGAAAGTTGTCTGTACAGTGTGGGAAGAGAGAGAAGGAGGTAAGAGAAGCAGCAACTGGAGTTGCTAAGTCTACTCCTTGGCACCTTGCTGGCCTGTGTTTTGTACCGGGCTCTTTTGCCAGTTGCATATGAATTATGCCAGGGAGCCTGGGAGGAGTTCAGTGGCATTCTCCCTGCATCAGCAGAGCTGTCTGCTTGCAGAGTTCAGGACACGCAGCGTGCTGTGGGACGCTACTCCCCGAGAGCCTCAAATGACAAGCTTTAAGAGTAGCCTGCTGCAATCCTGATCTGTTCTTTTGCAGAAGGGATTTGAGATGCACTCTCATAGTAAAGCTTAAATCCGTATTTCTTACTGAATGGATGCTTGTGGATTGCTAGCAATACTCCATTAGTCACAGATTAGATTCCCATTTCATAACAGGCTGGAAAACCTTGTCTCGTCATGTTCTGTGCTTCCACTGAAGGGAATGCAAATGCAAGAGGTAGAACAGGGAAGTTGCTGTTCTTCGCTCCCCATTATGCAGAGCTAGACAACTTTAAGTTTGCTAATCCTCCCCGTGGCTTATTAGCTGCATACAGCTGCCATGTTATTATATGATTCTTTGAGTTCAAACTAATCCCTCTACCTCCTCCAAGACCTGGCAGGGGACGTGATGAAATTGGTTTGCTACTTGAATGAGCGCACTGTGCTCTGACAGGCACAGCAAGTTCCAGGTGCTGGTGAGGAGAGTCCAGCTCCTTGCGAGCACCCCGCGCTGCCAGGCACCCCACCGGCTGCTGCCCGAGGCCATGCAGCTCTGGGTGTCTGGCAGCACCCACTCGGCTCCTGCCCTCGGAGTCAGCACGCCAGCGCTGGCTTTCTGCTCGAGTGGATTCATCTGCAGATACTGAGCCTGCTCATCACTCTAGGAATTTATCTACCACACAAGATTTTTCTTCCTACAGCAGTCAAGTGGCAGCTAATATGACAAAGTGAAGTCCTTCCCAAGGGCCCAAATAGCACCGTGATTCAGTAGGGTCACCCTCTCCCTAGACACACTACTCCTGGCTGCCTTTTAGAAGACAATTAAACAGACAAGTCCTCCCTTTAGCCAGGTGAAGGCTCTTACTGGTTAGGAGGAGATGTTGTTGAGCCCAGGCAACAACAAAACTACACCAGCAGCAGGAAGGCTTTGCTGGCTTTGCTATGGGTATGGCCCTGGGGGTACAGACGAGCTCTGTAAAACACAAAACATTTCTAAAGATCCTGAAGTCGCTTGGGAAATCTTGCCCTGGGAGACCAGGGAATAGATGGCTTGATGTGGAAGGTTAACGCTGCAGCATCCCCTGCATCCTTTCCCCAGCTTCCAGAGCTAACACTGACCAGAGGGAAGTCAGCTGTGACCTGCCTGGAGCAGCACTACCCTCAGTGAGCCCTGCAGACAGCCCGGCAGCCCTGGTGAAGTGCTGCTATTTTGGGAGGCGAGTTTCCAAGGACACTGTAGGAACAGTGCCCAAGCCCATCACCCCTACAGACAACCTCCTGCCAGCAGTTCCCCAAGTCGCTCCGTCTAATTACCTTTAGGGCTGAGAATCAGGCTCTCTGGAATTCGCACTTACTATGGAGCCTGGACATTTCAGGCCTGTTTGGGACCTGAGCAGGTATTAACACTCGGAAAGCAGCCAGATGTTGGATTGCTAGCTCACTTTAATCATTTCATTAGGGGACTGGCTACTGGTGCTGGGCCCATCCAAGCACCAGGATGAACTAACAGGAGGGAGGCATCTCCAGACTAACATGTTTCTGCTGTTAACCTCCATATTCCTTAGACTTAATTTAACTGAGAAGGCTTTTCTCCAGAGTCTAGCGTGCCACAAAAGCAGAGACATTTATAAATCTTGACACAGGACACATCAGAAATGCTGAGTTCTCCTTGGCGTGAGAACCAGCTTCTCACTCCAGCCTCCCCCTTATCCTGATTGTTTTTTGCTGCACTCATGCTCTTAAGCAGAGGCTCAGCGAATTGCAGTTTCAGTGTAGTATTCTAGTGAGGAAGTTCAATCCAGCCACACAATAAATCGTATTGACTGCCAAATATCAGCTGGTAGTGTTGAAGTGTGACATGACATCAGTTTAAATCCAGATGAGAGGAAGTCAGAGTCCCTCAGTGTACCCTGGTGAAGCAGAGGAGGCAGGGACAGCTGTGCACAACCTGCCTCTGCTGCACCCCCCACCTGATGGCTGGGCAGGCTTCATAGAGCAGCCTGCACTGAGAGCCATGCTGGGCTGTAAGTGGCAAGGGCTCAGGAACAAACCTGGGTGTCATTTGTCTGCTCGTGCTATAGGAGAGGAACCAGGCAGACAGATGGCGGAGGGCAGGGTGGCTGCCTTCAGTCATTTCAGTTTAATTTATCACTGTGTGGTGGGACTCCAGAAATAGAGATGTTTAACAGACTTGACAATGAGATTCTTCTAGAACACAGTTCCTCCAGTTTTCCTAGGCAGACACCCTTCCTACTACAGGAGAGAAGTTTGCCAAGATTATTGCTGAGTAGATTTCTCTGAAAGGTTCTGCCTTTCAGCCCTTCTTTACTCACTATGCACGGAGCTAAGCTTTCCTACCAGTTTTGCATTAAGCTGAGTTGGAGCTGCATTCAGTACTTTAAAAAAAGGAAAAAAAAAAAGCTGAACTTGTAGCTGGTGGGTTTCTCTGTTAGTCTTTTCAGCCTCTCCCACTTTAATGAAGTGGTTGGCTCTGCTGCAGCTGAAGG